TAATTATTTATTTTCTATTGAATATTACATGCTAAAGTGCCATTGTATGGATAAAATTTGAAGGTTATTTGTATTTTTTAAGTTGAATTTAATTTTCTTTTAATGTTAAATCTTATTTATTGAATCGTCAAAGCGAAAATCGTTTGATATAATTTTATGTGTTATTTTTTAAAGTGATTTTTAAGTATTCTGGCAATTACTTATAAATAAGTCCATTAATTTCTGACTCAGTATTAATTTTATTTTATTTATTTAATTACACGACATTTAATTTATTTTATTCTTATGTACGGTTAAAATAATAAAGTAAAATCCATATACCGCTTCAAAGTACCTGCATGTAACAATATATCTATGACAATATAATCCCATTAAAAATATAAACAATATAATATGTAAATATACCAAATATATTTTTTCCCCCTAAGTGATATATACAATTGTGATATTTTGTTTGAATTTTTATTTATTTAGATTCGTAGTCAATATATTGTGCCATCGACCGTTTTGTTTGTATAGTTTTATTTTCAAGTGTTAGATAAAATAAAAATAATTAAAACCAATATTTGACATGAAAAAATATAATATCTCATAGACGTAAATTCTAACCTTAAAAATATACTTGTATTTTACGTTCAAAGAGATTAAGAAATCTCTTAATGTTGCCATATATAAGGTATGAATATTATATATTTACTATACGTTTACAATAACATGGCACACTATTCCGATGACGTCATTCTGTATTGAAAAATGACTGTTATGTTATTGTAGTCGCATAGCACATGTATGCTATGTATGTAATCTGGCTTAATCTTGAAATCTACATTGTCTAAGTTTTAAAAAAACACGTGGTAAATTGCATATTGTTATTTTGTTTAATATTATTGTGTTTTCTAAGTGCAATATTTTTTGTTGACATTTTTTCTTTCAAAGTTGGTTATATTAATTTATATAAACAAAATCGGGATCTGAATACAGTATTATATTTAAAAAGTCGAAAATGTTAAAAAAACGCTTTAACCCAAGATAGTATTTTTTTAAATATAAAATATATTTTAAGAGTGTTACTATCCCAATTGTAGTTAATAATATTGATAATTCATGAATAATTATTCTGGTGATTTTTAGTTGTAGGTTGTTTTTAGTTAATAGCTTCCATTGTTAAAGGAATATGAATCTTATTGTAATGTTCATAAGGTCTAAAGTTTAGTACAAATGCTTGTTTCAGTAAATTAGGAACGTTTTCTAGTAAACCGTGTTAATTAGTCGCAAATACATTGATCATTTATGTACTGGATGTGACAGAAATTGGAATTAGAAAAAAAGTGTTTTAAAAAAATCTTTTTTGAAACACCTTACTGCAAAAAAACTGTGAATCTATAAATTCGTTTGGGGGTTTACAGTGTTGAAAATGTATAAAACGCATCCAGTGCATAATAAATCGATTATATAAGTGTAGTAAGCGTTTTCACTTCCATAGCTTGCACTGTTTGTAAAAATGTTAGCAATAAAATTGTAGAATAATGTGAAATGTTCGGGTGTACTGTTTTAACGGAATATATTACAGCTGTTTAAAAAAATTAGTTTTATGTCATTTAGCGTTAAAATATTAAATAATCCTACATATACCAAAAATCAAGAATGTATCTTTTTTTTAATTGTGATCATTCTCTTGTTAAACCAGTACAGTCGAAACTGATAATTTGGTTCATATCAGTCGTGTTTTAGGGCATATAGATATCGTAGTTGATGTAATAATTGTATTATTAATAGGATTTCTAAACTTCTAATACATTAGGGGTCAAGTCAGTTTGTCCATGGAATGTCAATCTAACTCGGTAGGCAACGGACTGATTTATTAAATCTAAGATAACCCCCAGTTTGGTACCTTACATCCCTCCCCACTAAGCTACATACATTCCGTAAACTAATAAAACTAACAAAAGAAAATCTTACCAAAAAGTAATACTAAAGATTTAAATTTAACTCATTTAAAAGCCCGCATTGCGATAGCTGACATCTTTAGTGGCGAGGAGCCCGGCCCCATGGCGATAAGTCAGTCGTCACGTGGGCCGAATTTTCATAACATTAAAATTGACAAATATTGACAAGTCTACAAAAATTTTATCGAATCTGAGATGATCTCTAGAGAAAATGTTATCAATAGATACTCAGAATTATTTTTCTTGCAAAATAATGACCCCTAGTGTGGCTAAGGCGAAAAACTAATCAAGCTTTATTTATTCTAAATTTGTCTCGTAAATAATAAATATATACGCCTTAAAATGTATAAAATGATACAATGCTTTTATTGTATATTCAGCTGTAATGTGTGAAAAATTTAAAAGACAGAATATACATTTATTCATTGGCTAGAACTATAAAATATCAATGTGCTTTGTGACGGTTTACTGTGTCTCATGTTGTGTTGTTAAGAATGAAAGAGACAGCAATATGTATGTGTGCAAATGTAGTGTAGTGGCGTACTGGGTATTAATTGATTTAACCTAAAAATACCCAAATTACTTGATTTAACCGCGCGTTATAATTGTCAAAGCACTTTTGACACATATTGTCATCTCTGTCACTCTTTGAAACATCAGAGAACAATGTATACAAGTGTCACTTGTATGTAATAAACTACAGTGTCTTAACACTTGTATACAAGTGTCTGTATACAATATTTGTCACTTGTATACAAGTGTAACTTGTAAACAACAAGTGTCACTTGTATACAACACACTTGTTGTATGCAAGTGTCACTACACTTGTATACAACAAGTGACACTTGTATATGAATATTGAATACAATTGTCAAGACAGCGGAGTTTTACAATACTGCTATAGTTTGTGTTGTAAATTTACATTAGCTACATGTTTAGATGTAGATAACTCGTATATTAGAGCTGTTCCACTGAGACGAAAAAAATAAGGATAAAAAACGCAAAAAAAAAATATAATAAGTGTTGAATATTACGCTAAATCGTTCCGTGTTTGATATTTGATGTTGCGATTGTGAATGTAAGCCATTTAAATATTAAAAATAAAGTTAACCGTGTACTTATGATTACGTCCTTTTATTTGACAGAAAGTAGAAAAGTTTTTAAAAATATTTATGTTATGTGTATAATGACAATTTAATCAGCTTCCTGTAATTTATTTTCATTACAAATATCATTTTTAGTAAATTTGAAAACATAAGCAATTAAAAAAACAAGATTAACAAAAACATAATATTTAACAATCGAAAATTTTATTTTTTTTTAAATATCAAAATTTCAGTTACTGTAATGTAATCACGAGTTAATACTTGAAAAAAAACTTACGAAACGTTATTTCTTCCATTATTATTGAATAAAGTGAGATAGCGATATGTTTTGTAAAGATTTTCAACAGTGGACAGTAAGCGATGGTTGGGATGGACAATAAAAGATGCGGAAAGTACAAATTCTTACTTAAAATTGCATTATACACATAAAAATGTTGAATGGAATCTCATTTATTTTTGTACACGATCCCTTTGTAGGTCCATACTTTGAATGAAAATATTTTAATTTTGTGAACATTAAAACCAGGAAAGCTTACGGTAATTTGATAATCATATAAAAATAACGTTTTCCAAAAATGCATTAAAATGTGTTCTGTTTACTGCATTTAAATATTTTCGTGACACTGCAGTCCCCCAATGACGCGCTTTACTCGATTTTATCTTGATTCGTACTTTGGTAAGTAAATTATAAAACGGTATACGCACAAGTAAAATTATTCGCATTCAAAGTTGGATCTACTAATAATTTATTTCATGTGAGAATGTGTGTTAGCAAATAAAAATAAATTGAATTATAGAAATTGTGAACCGGCAGTTTTATTTTAGCAAATAACCCATTTCCTTCAGAATAAACTAGATTTAATTATAAAACTATCTGGGTTAAGCCAGGTTTGTTAAAAAATCCTTTAAATTAATTATCTATCTAAGAAAAAACATGTTACATACATACAGGCGGTTACAAAAATATGTTTAAGGATTGTTTCTGTTTGTGTTTTCGTGCCCCTGATGATTTGACGACAAAGGTTTGTTCGACTAATAAAAGCTATTGTTCCAATATTAAGGCATTTCATTTAACGATTTTCGAGACATTTCAATAATAGTAAATACTTAGCAATCTTTAGAGTCCTCTAGCGCACAAACGAATCAACTTTGAATAGAGGTAAGTTCCGTTAAATCATCATATTTTCGGCAAAGAAATCTGTTTTAGTCCATTATACACGTCTTTCTCAGGCATCCTGGATATTCAAACTCAATATGTGCGAGATTTAAAAATGCTAGTGTTAAGAATTTAAATAAAACCAGATATTGTTCAGAATAGTTTTTTATTCATACTCCTACATTCTCTTAAAACTAATCAATTATCACAAATAGACAGTTAACACTAACAATTCACAGAATTTATAAAAGCAATTGAATTACATCAATTTTATTGACCGACTTCCCAAAAGGAGGTACTCAATTCATCTATGTTTTTCTCATAGACGTATTTACATATGCAATTTTTTTATAGGCTATGTAGGCAAAATACACACTAGACGTGAAAATTGCGAAAACCATAGATCCTTTACTATTATATGCAATGTAACGTCTAAGAATAATACTTTTTACTACGCATCCTATTGGATAAACAAAGTTGAACTAAACTAAACAGAACATTGTTCCAAATTGGCATAAAAATAGCTTTGCTATTCAAGTTTTGACTGAAAATTTACAGAAAAAAAAACTTACAATCTAATTATATACAATTTTTCATCAGAAGCAGAAATACTATAGGTTAATGAATATTTACTGATCCTATTCATAGTAAATATATGCAGCCAACTGTCATAATTACATACATTTCTTACAATCAACATGCAATTGAGTGTTGTTGCAATATTTGAAAATCTATTACAAGAATATTCATATTATGAGAGTAATAAAAATCTAACTAGTAAATAGATTACAAACAAACATAAATTATGTTTTACAACCTAGATGTGGGTAGGTTGAAATTACAAATTTCAAACCTACCCTCAATGCCTATTGTAAGGTGGGACCAAGCTTACCAATGTAACTTACTAAGAATCAATTAATTACACTAATTTCCTTCAAGTAAATTAAAAAATCAGTTGTTAACTCTGAAACTCAAGAAAATGTCAAGCATAAGCTATAACAAACTTCACTAACTGAACACTAAAATTATGGTCTTAAAACAAAAACTGCACAGAAAATAACTATTGAGTTATTTTTATTATGATAAACAGAATTGCAGCAACCTTAATAACTGTGGTGTTGTCAAATATTAAAATTGTTAACCTTGTCGAAATTAAAAAAAAATGTTACAGCCTGTAATTTAAAAAATATTCAATAACACTGAAACAAGTTTGTCTGAATGTATATCTATGTTTTTTGACAAATTCAATATTTAACTATACTTACACTTAAAACTAAGAGAAAATGTACACATTAGTTATTGAACTTAAACTAAGTTAGAACTTAAAATTAGTATCACTATACCGGTATAAAAAGGAACTAAACAGGTTGTACACAGATCTTAGACACTCGGAATTTTCCGGAATTATAAATGAAAATGTTTATAAATGGAATCTAAATTCATCTATAAGCAATGAAAAGTATGCCAATACCTCCCTCTCCTAACACTGACCATGTTCTTATCTACTCGGTAATGTCAGTTTAACACTACAAGGTCATCGGCAAAGCTTTTGTACACAAGTAATATTAAGAAACCTCTTAAGACGACTTTCCATCAATTGAGTAGACATGAGTATACAAATTGAATGTCAGAAGCACTGAAACACTTTCATGCTCTCTCATGTTACTTATCTGAAAAAATCTTACTTTCACAATGAAAGATTTTAACTAGTAATAAATTTGTAAACTTAATAATAGCATTTTCTGGCTTAACTACTTAAAATTGATCTATTACAAAACATTTATTAACTTGGATTATTAAACTACTGCTAAAATTGTTACAACAAATGCAATGAGAAGTTTTACTATTATTTGTAAACACTTATAATTCACCCTAATTACTGTTTGAAAGTAAATATTATATGGAAGTTATTTTCAACAGGCTTGTACCTAGAGAAAGTCATACAAAGAAGATTACAAACATTCTCTAAGCCCTGCCTGTGAGCCTGTACTACTTTTTAGCCTTTGCCGAGTTCCCTTGTTTATTTGGCGGAGACCATCGTAATGCAGATCTGTCTACGCACAACCTGGGCTTTTTAAAATGGGGACTAGCTAACTGTTCCGCTACTATCTTTGGTGTAACACAAATTACATGCTGTCCTTTCCAATATTTCACCATATTCATACATTGTAAGGTAGTTATTATATCAGTTTGGGATATCCCAGTCATTTGACTTAGGTCTTTTATACTCAGGGTACCTCTACTGACACTCAAGACTTCTAGTAAGACATAAGACCAGTATGACCTGTAACTAAGCTTACCTAAGTCAGATAATGGTTTTTCTGGACTACCCACCACTTGTTCTAGCCTTGATAGCTCATAGCTGAATGCTATAAGAAACTTCCCATAACCTTGTCTTTGGTATGGTGGTAAGGTAAGTATGCATGCTACATTATTACCTTCCGGTGAATCTTTCTCCTTTGAAAAATAACCAACTAAATGTGCTCCATATTTGTCCACTTCACAAAGTATGTAAAATAAAAACTGTTCTATATCAAAATATAACGTTTTATGATCTAAAAACAACTTTGCAAGTAAACAAAGATTTTGACAGTAAGTTTTATGCTCCTTGCCATCTGCTTCGAAAATAGCTATTGTACCTTTTCTGTATATTTCACTGCCTTGAGGTTGTTTAGCTGGGCATTGTCCTAAATGGTATCTGAACGTTTTTTCCATCTTCATATATGTAAGACAAAATTCACATATCCATAGTTTTGATTGTTTACCATACTCGTCTGGATACGGACTGAAGTACCAGGTGTCTATTTCATATTTTCCGATTTGAATACGATCTATGTATTTGACTTTTGTGATCGCTTCATGTTCCTTTTCCAACGCCGCGGTCGTAGGATCCATCTCCTCGTAAGTCTTCTGTATGTGATTGATTTCATCATGTTTACGTTTTTGATTACGCGTTATTTTACGACCTGATTTGTCGGTTAAGAGATGATCTGAATTTATATTATTAGATTGCTCGCAAACGTCAAACCTGTCGGACATAACCCTGTGGCGGGAAACCCATTCGTCGAGGCGGCGATCGTAGCCCACATAGTGGACATAATACTCGAAACAAGACTCGCCGGCATTGTACCGCGTTTGTATTATCTCGGCCGGGTGCCATGACTCATCGGAACGCCGCACTAAATAATGCTCTCCGATATCCAAAGGTTGTAATTCCTGTACAGACTCGGATTCCTCATTATCAGTGCTCCTACATTCCGGATTTGGTAATTCATCTTTCACTATAGGTTTTTCAAATTCCTTATCACCTTTTGCCATGTTAGAACACACACATTAATCGTATCACGCAATACCGCGCAACATAGTTTATTAAAGTAGCCATGCCATTATTACAAATAACCATAGACTAAAAAATTGAAATTGAAAGCAAATGCGTGTTTCGTTATAAGTTTTCTTCAGAGTATTAAAGTAAAGGGTTATGAAAGTAATTGCTTGTATCTCGTTGATGAAATTACCCTTTCTTCAAACTATAAAATGACGCAATAATCATAAACAATTAAGAAATGAAAAAAAATCTCAACAAAAACACTAAGTGCTTGTTAGAATTTAGTTATGGCAACTTTGAATTAATGACTGATTAAAAAATTTGACCACTTTCGAGAAGTTTCTACCTTTTAGTACAAACATTGTAAGTTTTAAATATTTTTATTTCTAATAGAAATGGCATATTAATAGCTTTAAAGGATGTTTTTGTTACATCAGTACACCAAATAAATGTTAGGTTTCTGTTGTTGAAAAATATATATTTTGCACTAATTTGATACACTGGCTAATAGACCAATTATCCACATCTTTACAAAAATCTGAAATCGAGAGCTGCCTTAAAGTCATTATTACTGTGGATGTCGAATGCCTCTACTCGTGTATTGGCACAAATTGTTGTTTCTGTTTTTCATAACAAAATATGATGGATATACAACACGTGGCAATACAAGTCTCTGCAGTCGAGACCGAGACCCACATTTTGAATTGATTATCTTGATACATAAAATAAAGTATACGTGTATTTTTTGATGAGCAACCCGAATAGTAAATGTCTCCCCAACTGTTACTTACCTCGAAAAAAACATAGTTAAATGTAAGGAACTAGTCAGACAATCATGTGGATATTTAGAGTAATAGACAAAATTAATAAATGTTCTTGAAATTCAATTTGTCATAAGTTTTAACAGTGTAGTAGAATTTCATCTGACTTTTAGTAGAATTTTGATTTAATATTTGGTCACACCGGAGCTGTGTGCACAGTGCACGTAATCGCCATCGGCGAAACGTCTTGTAGTAGTGAATGATTTATTTTTTGAAAACAGTTTATTCTTATTGCTTATAAAAGATATGAAAATTGTTATAATTACCTAAAGTTGTGCCATTGAAACTCCTGTGTTTATTGTAATACTGATGTGTTTTTGCAATTAGACGTGATTGCGAGTGCAGTGCTTGCCGTTTCAGATTGGTTTTGAAGCCTTGTGATTTTCGTGTTCTATTAGTGACAACGGCCACACAAAACTCAAAATGCAAGCTATCAAGTGTGTAGTTGTAGGCGATGGGTAAGTTTTACATTGTTATTTGTGTATTTGTACATATTATAAGCGTTCATTAAATAGTAAACTATCTGACGTCATATCGACACCGTGCCGTTTCCAACGACAAACGAGTAAAAGAATGAGTTTTGTAGGAATGATAATGTATATATTCTTTATCAAGCGTTTGATTTAGGTTTTCGATGAAAATGCGAGTTAGGTATTCGATTATGAGTTATATGTTTATTGTTTTATGATATGTACAGCATGAATTATTTGGAAGAATGATTGTGGGTTAAAAACTAACCAACAAAAATCTGTCGACTGTTAAATTTAAGATAAAATTACATACATTCTGAGTTTGATAAATTTTACAGACAGAAAAACATTAATATGCTTTACTAATAATATGTTACCCTAATAGATATATTTAATAGTTTTATTTTTATGTCAAAGAGAAGAGATAAAAAGTTTGTAAAAGGAAGTGATCAGAATGTTATCTTTTTAGGAAAATAGATGCATAGTTTTTTATCCATTTGTTTGTCAAAGAAGAAAATAATTTGTACATTTAATATTATAGTTTCTTACCTAAAATTAACAATAGTTTAAAATCTCACTGATGTGAGTCAGCATAAGGTTTTTATAAATTTTAAACTGTTGAATTAAATTTTATGATTAGCAACCTGCCTCTCTAAAATATTAATTTAAAAGAAAAATTTGTTCATACTAGCAAGCAATATAAACTTGTCACAATGATTATAAACACTATATTACATTTGCAAAGCTACCACCGGTTGAGGTAGACCTAGAAAGAGATGAATGGATTTTGTGAATAGTGACATGATCAAAAAGGGAGAGATGACTGAGATGTGATAGAGTTATTTGGAGGACAAAAACCTGTTGCGTCAACCCTATGGGGGTATGATAAGGAAGAAAATGGTGATGATGGTGGTAAATGTTTTAAAAGTGGGTGCCAACCCTACGGGAGTAGTATAAAGAGGAAAATGTGGTATTAAAGTATTAAGTGTTTAATTTGGAGCAGTTCTAATATTGAAGATGGCTATCTCAATTTGTCATTAAGCAAGTTTATTCCTCAGCTGATCTTACACATTGTCTTGGACTGTACTTGTACTGTTTGGTACAGCCTAATCAAGATCGAAAAAGGCTTGGGTGTCTCAATCACTTTATTACATCACATAATATTACTGTAAAGAAATTAGTTTCATATTTACCTGTTTTGTCTAGATTTTTGACTAGTCTTTGTTTTGATGTGTGACTCTAGTTTCTTTGTTAGAATTTACGGCATAAATGGCTGTACAGATCTTGATGTAATGGCAAAGATGAAAAACAATATCTAGGGGAATTGATAGGCTACATTTCTTCATTCTATTTTTAATTCACATGGATGAATTCGCGGGCGAAAGCTAGTAATATATAATAAAATATTGTTTTTCTTTGGTTAGTGAATGTGGCAATGTCATCATTTATGCATGTGTTATATTTGATCTTGAATTGCTGACAATATGTTGTACCTTGTTCTGACCTTAAAACGCCAACATTTTACGCATGTTAATTCGATATATGCTTCAACATTTTACAAGGAAACGGCTATTGTTTACGCTGAATTTAAAGACGTTGGAATGCGCACGCGAAAGTCATGGAAATCGCATCTTGCGTAAGACAATTTAACAATCACGTACGGTCTTTGAAAATAATTGATTTCGTTGCCTCGCGTTAGCTAGGCCAGTGGAGTAAACGCTAATAAAAATATTATTTATAGTCACATAACAAGGTCTTTGGCGTGTTTGCACAAGACATTTATATTTCACGCTATTTCCTAGTATCTTTGTACTATTTTCCTCTGCGTTTTTATGTGTATTTTTGCTCTTGACACATTTTGTCGTTTCATGCATTCGCGTATTCATGGACACGTGGTTTGTGTTAATACATAATTGTATGTAGGCAAAGAGACACGAGTTATATCATACTAATATAAATGCGAAAGTTTAGTTGGATGGATCTTTGTTAGAGTTTTTAGCTTAAAGGGCTAAACGGATTTTGATGAAATTTGGTATGGATGTAGATGATAGCCAGGAAAAACACATAGGGTACTCCCTTTTGTTATTTTTTTAACTCCACGCGGACGAGTCGTGGGCGAGAGCTTATTTTATTTTATCAGAAGTCCTAACAATTCTTGGTTTTTAAGAGTATAGTTAGTGTGTACCATATTAACTAGTTAACAAATGTTATAAACATTGTAAATGAGAAAGTTTGGATGGATGTTGGTTAGAGTTTGTAACCTAAACAAATGAATGAATTTCGATGAAATTTGGCATAGATCCAAAGGATATTTTGGAAAAACAAAGAGGCTACTTGCCTTTTTTAATTTTTTTTCTTTCTTTCTTCTTTTTTGCCACGCGGACGGAATCACCGGCGAAAGCTAGACTGAATATAAAATAACAGTTCATAAGAATGAAATGAGGTATTTAATATGCATACTCGTGTTATATGCTTAGAACGTGATAATCGAGACATAGCACACGTTCTCAATACGGCAGCTAATCTGACCGATTAGAAAGTAGTGTGTGAAGAAAGTAGCCCTGTCAATATTACTAACCATACGTTACATCGGATGTAACCAATTAGCACGATTGATTTTAATTTAATTTTATGATAAGATGACCTAAAAGTATGATACTTTAGAAATGTTTTAGGCAACAATATTCACATTTGAATATAAAACGCCAGTAGCCTAATGGTTTGGGGTATGGACTACCGATCTTAAGGTTGAGGGTTCGAATCCCGGAATTCGACTATTATCGTGAGCCATATCCTAGCACAAGCCTAAAGCTCAGTTGGAATGGTTAAAGGAAATATTAGTAAACCACCGTTCGCCCGAAACTCCGTCCGCGTGGAATTAAGGAACATAAAAGTGCCTATGCGTTCTTCCAGACTATCCTCTACATATATACCAAATTTCATCAAAATCGGTTCAGTCGTTTAGGCTACAAACTCTAACAAACATCTATCCATCCATCCATCCATCTAAATTTACGTATATATAATATTAGTATAGTATGGTTAACAACAATCTAGTATTTAAACAAAATTGTTAATATTGTTTATGAACTGTTGTCATTAAAAATTAACAAGTTTATAATATTTCATAAGATTTCGATTTGTATATAATTTAGAAGAATCTCTATTAAATCTATAAAAGAACATTTAACTAAAATGTTATTTTAAGAACACTTAGTTTACAGTTTTCATACTTTGCTTTATCAAGTTTGTAAGATCGATATCGCAACGAGTCTTTTTTATTTGTGCAAACTTCTTTGAAAACATGTTTGCGTTAGAATTTCGGAGAAACGGTTTTATTTTTTTGTATGAAATGATGTTAGAATATTTTCAGCTAAATCTAACTGATGTACAGGTTTAAAAAGCATTTCTTTGATCGTAGTTCTTGGTTTTAAATATTCTTTTTGCTGAAATACTAAAACTAAGGATACACGGTCTTCTGGTTGTTTATGTAATTTTATGTATAATTTGTTTTTAATCCGTAAGTTTGTACTTGAATAAATGAGGGGTTTTTCAATCTAGTCTAAGTTTATTGTTATATCTGGGTGGTCCGTCAAAATTTAAGCTCGTTTAACACGGCAGCTGTCATACTTATATCATCATCGTGAAGGAACTACGTTTAATTAAATCTAAAATTACGTTGATTACTTTTTGCATAATGTTTTTGTACTGTGTTTTTAACAACTGCCTTAGTCCGACAACTCAAGCAGAATATCTACTTAATTAGCATATTTTCTCATATAATACTTAATTCAAGTTTAATTATATGTTATAGAATAAAATAATTCAATAAAAACGACACTTTTCAAAAGTGTAGTAACTTTTGTGCGAATAAAATTTTCGACCCGAAAATTCACAACGAAGCGGTAGACGATAAAAAGCAATAAAACATTATCATACAAAGGATCCGTTTTATAAATGTGAAATATAAAAGGGATATTGTCCCAACAAAACGAGTGACAAGCTCAAACGTGCGTAAAAATACACCGGAATAAGGTTTAACTTATGCATGTACAGGATGTTTCATTAGTCGGAATTTTATTTTTTCAATTTTGTAATATGACAGTTTTTTTTTGTCGTATACTAATCATATTGCTATCTTCTCGACTTTACAACTTTTTGTAAAAGTTAGTTTGCAATATTTTTTATTAGTCATACTACGTCAGGGATGGTGAACTAGTGGTATGCGTACCATAAATGGCACAGAACCCAATATTTTGGGCACTTCGATCATTATAATAACACTTCGAAAAACTATGATATAAGTAATAAAATAAAAAGCGAACGCGATGTCATTTCCATGGAATTGTAATAATCAGTAAAATTATTTAATGGCGCATCTTAGTAAACATTTCTTAAAAAAATGGCACATTAATGTATAAAGGTTTGCCACCCCTGTACTACATTATCGTGTTTCTATAAAAGTGCATTTGCAATTATATAAAATTAGTTTCCATGTCTTAGAAAATGTATTATTATAGTGACATTAACGGATGCTGTAGCTATTTACTTTTTGCCTTAAGCTGGACAGATTAAGACCGACTGAGGTGATTATGATATTAAAGAAAATAAATGGCTTTTTCCAACACATTTCTTTATGTAATTAAAGTCTTCTAGTAATTATATAGAATGAAGATACTGTTTGAAAAAAAAAACCTACCGAGGAAAAATGAAACACTCTGTAATGTTGTATACTTTGCATCGATACCGAATATAAACTCATTGAAAAGTTATGTATGGAGTTTAAATAGACCACATGAACCTGACTTGCTTGCCCGCTCCTGTTACGAAACTAATTAAAATTCTTGCCCGGTGCATGACCATGGTTTAAATAAGTGACGCATCGTAGATTCTCAAGTAAAAATACAAGACCAATTGTCATACTTTTTTAACGCAATACTAAGATTTTTTGCCACAAGAATATTTTGCCTTGAATTTTTTGTTTTTTT